GCTGACAATTTCAATCAATTATTTCTTACCCATTTTCTTGATGTTTGCTAGATGCGTTGTTGTTGGCTTTAAAAGTCCAATTCCAGCACCGTTGTCTCGTCCCGCATGCGTTTTTCGTTGGCAAAACACAGCTGCTGCAATTATTTATACAGTTCCAGATCGCATCACGACGGCCGTGGCAGCATTTTTCCAGGATGGCGGCATGATAAAAAACTGTTGCAGACGCGTCGGCTGCGTGGCTTTAAAATTTCCCTCCTCCAAGTGGCTGCATCATTGAAGAACTCTCCCGAAGATTTAAAGCGGAAAAAATGCTGCCTTTGGCTTGGAACTCTCCATCCTGGACGATCCGGCGGCAGTCAACCCAACTTTTATCTCCTGGTCGACTTCTTGGCCCGTTTCAACACAAAAAACGCTACAAAGATTCGTCCAACGGCGGCGGTGGCAGCGATGGCGGCAATGGCGGCGGCGGTCGCCGTTACGTTGTTGGCTTTAAAGTTGTTATTGGCTTTAAAACTCCAATTGGCCAATTGGCAACGTCCTGGACGAACTCTCCCCATGATTTCAAGCAGAAAAACGTTGTTGTTTGCTTTAAAATTCCAATTCTCCAAGTGATCACGTCCACGCGGCAGCGGCGGTTGTTTCGATCTCTCCATTTTTCAACGTCGGCGACCCGAATTTTGTTCGGCGATCGTTTTATGATGCTTCGATGTTGGCTCGTTGGCCAAAGAGAATTCTATAAGCAAACATCAAGAAACTAAACAACGTGGTATTCTTACGATTTAAATCGATTTTTACCACGAAGACGAACTCGTCGCTTCGAATTTCAGCGGATCGGTTCGTTTTCAATCTTCGCTGCTCGATAAGGGACACATTCACCGCCTTTGTCGTCGTGGACGTATTCGTCCACAATTTTGCGGTCTTCGTCTCACCATCTCGCTGCCGTATTGTCCGTTTGCATCCACCATTTGTTTCGGACCCAAAGCTTGGCTCCTTTTCGGTGGGTGACCGACGATGGTTCGAAATTGGAGCATTGGCCAAAGCGGATTCTATATAAGCCAACATCAATAATGTGGTATCCTTATGATTTAAATCAATTCTTTTCTTACGGCTCCTTTTCGGTGAGGAAACGTCTATCCTCGGCAGCTTGCTTAGCGCTTCGAGTTTTCAACGC